GGCTATTGTCGGCCTATAGGAAAGCTGCTGATTTATGTACATTGATTTTGCAATCTGCGATGTTGCTGTATTTGTTTATCAATTCCTGGAGTCTCTTGGTTGAGTCTTTGGGTTTATTTAGTCTGACAAAATTGTATCATCAGCAAAGAGTGATAGTTTAACCTCCCCTTTCCACATTTGGATACTCTTGATAGTCTTCTTTTATCTAATTGCGGTGGCTGGACTTACAGCCACTATGTTGAATAGAAGTGGTGATAGTGGGCAAGCTTGTCTGACTCCAGTTCTAAGCGGGATTGCTTTCAATTTTTCTCCATTCAGTATGATGCTGGCTGTGGGTTTGTTGTAGATGGTGTTTATGATTTTGAATTATGTCCCATCTATGCCAATTTTCTTAAGGGTTCTTATCAAAAAAGGGTACTTTGTGAAATGCTTTTTCTGCATCTATTAAGAGGATCATATGGTCTTTCTTTTTGCTTCTATTTATGTGGTGAATTACATTTATAGATTTGTGTATGTTGAACCACACTTGCCTCTCTGGGATGAAACCTACTTGGTCCTTATGAATTTTTTTTTTTTTAATGCACAGTTGAATTCTGTTTACTAAGATTTTATTGAGAATTTTTGTTCCCATATTTATAAGAGATATTGATCTGTAGGTTTTTTTTTTGTTATGTCTTTTCCTGGCTTTTGTATCAGGATGAATGAATTAGGAAGGGTGCCAGCCTCCTCAATGTTATGGAATAGTTTCTGCAATATAGGTACACGTTCTTCTTTGCAGGTTTGGTAGAATTCTGCTGTGAATCTGTCTGATCTGAGACTTTTTTTGTTGTTGCTGGAAGGTTTTTTTATTGTTGCTTTAATTTTGGTGGTTAATATGGTCTGTTCAGGAGTTCTATTTCTTCCTGATTGAGTTTGGGGAGGTAGTGTGATCCCAATAATTTGGCCATTTTCTCCATATTTGCAAAATTATGAGCATAGTGATTTTTATAATAGTCGGTGTTAATGTTTGGTATTTGCATAATATCTATTGTAATTTTACCGTTTTCATTTATTAGGATCCTTACTTTTCTATTTCTGTTTACTCAGGCCAAAATTTGTCAATTTTGTTTATCTTTTCAAAGAATCAACTTCTTGTTTCATTAATTTTTTGTATGGTTCTTTTATTCTCTATTAAGTTTTGATCTGATCTTGGTTCTTTTATTTTGCTGGGTTTGGGATTAGCTGGCTCTTCCTTTTTCAGTTCCTTGAGATGATTCATTTGATTGTTGATTTATAATCTTTCTGATTTTTGCACATGGGCATTTAAGGCAATGAGTTTCCCTCTCAAGACTGCTTTTTCAATGTCTTACAGATTTTGATAACATGTGGCCATGTTGTAATTTAGTTCACAGAATCTTTTGATTTCTGTTTTTATCTTCTCCTCGACCCAACTATCATTCAGCAAAAGGTTGTTTAGTTTTGATGACTCTGTGTAAGGATGAGAGTTTCTGTTGGAATTGATATCTAATTTTATTCCACTGTGGTCTGAGAAGATACATGGAATAATTTCAATTTTTAAAAATTTCTTGAGATCTGTTTTGTGGCCTAGAATGTGATCAGTCTTGGAGAATAATTGATGAGCTGGTGAGAATAATTTGTATTCAGTAGCATTGGGGTGGAATGTTCTGTAAATATCTGTTAGGCCCATCTGTTCTGGAGTTGTTAAGTCCATTTTATAACATTTTATTTTCTGCTTGGAATAGCTGTTCAGTTTTGTCAGCCCCTAGATAATATGGGAGTTTTAAAGTCCCTAGATAATATGGTTTTGTTGTTTATCATTTTGTTTAGATCAAGTACTATTTGCTTTATAAACTTGGGAGTACCTATGTTGAGTACAAAAATATTTAGGATTGATAATATCTTCTTATTGAAATTTTCCTTTAACCAATATATAATCACTATAGTTCTTTACCTTTGTTTCTTTGAAGTCAATGGTATCTGTGATGAGAATTGCTACTCCCATATTTTTTTGGTTTCCATTTGCATGGAATATTGTTTTCCATATCTTCACTCTGAATCTGTCCTTGTGGGTTAGGTGTGTTTCCTGCAGACAGAAGACACTTGGCTTGTATGTTTTTTTTCCATTCAGCCAGCATATGTCTCTTCAGTGGGGAGTTTAAGCCATTCATATTTATTGAGAAAATTGATAAGTAGGATGGATTTATGTTCATCCTTTTGTGTGGAACTCTATTGCTTTGTTTTACCTCTTGGACCATTGTGATATGTAGGCTTTGACCTCTAGTGTCTGGGTAGTTTTACATTGGTTGGAATCTATTGTGCTGGTTCATGTATAATGCAGATCTAAGTACTTCCTTCAGGGCAGATCTAGTTGTGACAGATTTCCTCAAAGTTTGCTTGTCAGAAAAGGATTTAATTTCTCCATTTGGTATGAAACCCAGTTTTGCAGATATAAAGCCCTAGGCTGGCAGTTGTTCTGTTTAAGAAGACTGAAGATATGGCACTACCTACTTCTGGCTTGTAAGGATGTTGCTGAGAAATCTGCTGTTAACCTGATTGGTTTTCCCTTGTAGGTCAGATGTTGCTTATGCCTAGCTGATTATACAATTTTCTCTTTCATTTGACTTTGGCCAGGTTAATTACAATGTATCTTGGAGATGCTCTGTTTTTACTGAATCTTCCTAGGGTTCAGTGGCCATCTAGTATCTGGATGTCTAAATTCCTGATGATTTTCTACAATAACATCTTTAACTAGTGTTTCCATTCTTTTAGCACTATCTTCTTTTCCCTCAGGGATCTCTATAATTTGCATGTTTGTATGCTTGCAAAGTAAGTACCAAATCTTTCTATGAGATTTCTCTGCCTTTGTCTCTTTAAATGACTGGGTTAGCTTGAGAGCCTTTAAGCTCCGAGATCTCTCTTCTCCATAGTTTAATGTGTTGCTGAAACTCTCTGCTGTGTTTTGAAACTCCCTGAATGCCTCTTTCAATTCTTTAAGCTCCATTATATCTTTTCTAATATAGTGCAGTTCTTTGGTGACTTTTTCATTAATTTCCTGAAACATTTTTTGGGCTTCTTTTTGCTGGTTTTCAACTTTCTCTCCAATTCTGTTCATCTTTTTTGCTATCCATATTCTGAATTTCATTTCTGTCATTTCAACAATTTCTTTATAGTTGGAGTTCTCTGCTGCAGTTCCCTGGGTGTGATTCCCTGGGGGTGATTCCTTGGGGGTGTTAATCTGTTCTGATTATTCATGTTGTCAGAGTTCTTTTGCTGCTTTTTCCTCATCTGTGGTTGTTTTTTTTACCTATGAACTAAATCATTAGGATTTTCTCAAAAATTCGTAGTTGGAAACTCTCTTGCTGGATCCAAATAAGGAGAGATCAGTAAGTGGTGCTCTGGTATCAGCAGTAACAGCAAAAACTGGATGTAATTTTCATGTTTTCTTCACTGAGTGCCTTTATTTATCCAGGTTTCAGTGAACTGGCAGCTTAAGGTTGAGAGACCCAAGCAGGGCTTTAGACTATGGAGCAGAACTTCTAGCACTACTGCGGTGGTGGAAGCTCTGGTGGAAGCACTGGTCTTGAGGGCCAGGTGCAGCTCTTGCGACTTGGGGATGGTGTCACTGGGTTGGCAGGGAAGTTGGGTGTTCAGCAGTGGAGCAACAAGCTCTGAAAAGAGAGCTTGGAGCCTGGACTGGGGAGGAGAAAGAGACACAGTGTCTGAACAGGACTGGAGTCCTAAAAGGAGGTCCACGGAAGAGGGTGGGGCTGATCCAACTTGGATGGTAGAGCCAGGGTACAAACTTATAGGTGGTAGTTCAGCCCTGGAGGGCAGAGTCTGAGGTGACCCATGTAGCAGGCTGGTCCACAGGGTTTTACTGCTACTCAGAAGCTGCATCAAGCTTCTTGGTGGGTACCTGTGGCCCAGGATCATGGAGGTCTCCACACCCCTCCTAGGATCCACAAAAGTCAGTCCTGCTCTCTCTTGGATTATAGACTGCTGAACCCCACACCATTCATTCTTGTGTTCAGATCCTCTTGTACTCTATAAAGGAGGCACTGGCTTTAGGTCACTGGATATGGCTTAGATAAGCCACAAGTCGATCCACTCCCTCTCCAGCCTGCTGCAGGCCCGGCATGGTGTACCTGATAGCTCAGGATAACCCTAGCTTCTGTCTGTTTCCATGCTTGCTATCTGGTGCAACAGCTCTGAACAGATTTCAGGTTGGTCCCTGGACCCACCCAGCAGAGGGCTGTGGGAGGTGGAGCAGACCCCGCCAGCAGCTGAGATTGCACAGCTGTAGCCAGTCCATGATCTCCAGTCTAATTGTTCTCTAGTCTCTGCACGTCTCTACTATTGTAAAATGTATCATGTTCTTTTATTATTTTTTTTTCTTCACTCCAGATGTCCCACGTTGCCCTTCTGTGATTTCACAATGCTGTTTTTGAGTAGAACAACCTGAATGGTGGCCTGGCTCACATGATTATGGAGACTGGGGAGTCCCATGATCTGCTGTCAGGAAAGCTGATGATGTAATTCAGTCTGAAGTCCAAAGGCCTGGCAGCCAAGGGAGACGAAGGTGTAAATCACAGTCCAAGGACAGGAGAAAGTGAGATGAGATGATGTAGCTCAAGTAGTGAGACAAGGGCTGGGCAGGGGGACAAATTTCTCTTTCCTTCCCAGCATTTTGTTCTATTCAGGCTCTCAGTGAATTGGATTAGGTTCATTGCATCTGGGAGGGCAATCTTCTCTACTGAGTACATTGATGCAAATGCAAATCTCATTCAGAAACACCCTCAGAGACACAGTCAGAGATAATATTTAACGTGGTCACCTTGTGGCTCAGTCATACCCTTTTTCTAATCCAGTTTTCCCCAGAGAGCCTTGTCTTGGCAAAATTGTTGAACATTTTCCAAGCCATGCGTAAAGGTGACACCTTGACTATCAGTTTTTTCCTATGGCTTAGGTTGAATTATATGAAAACGAACATAGTTTTTCCATGTCAGATGGGTAATGTGCCAACATTGTAACAAGGTTTGAGGGAAGCACGTCTCACACAAAAGCACTTAAACTCAACCATCACACTTACAAACCACAAAAGGATCGCAGCATCATTTTTGAAAATAACAGCAATTCCATATGGTTCAATCCATATGTCGACTGGGAGAATTCCTAAAGAGAGTGAGGATGAATCTTAGCCTGCCTCCACCCCCTCCCCCATCATATTTCCCATTCAGAAGGGCCAGAAAAGCACAGATTCTGGAAGAAAATGAACCAAGCAAGAGGTTTTCAGAGTTGCTGATGTGAGCTGGGCTCACAAACTATGGCCCACGGGCCACATGCAGCCTGCCTAGGACATTTATCCAGCCCACCAGGTGTTTTTGCCGCCGCTGCCTGTCCTGCTTAGTAGCCGACTCGTCCTGGGGCCTGCAGTCCGGCCCTCTAACGGTCTGTGGGACAGTGAACTAGCCCTCTGTTTAAAAAGTTTGAGGACCCCTGGACTAGGGCATCCATGCACTCTCAGACTTCTTCTTTCTCTAGGTCCTGTGATCCCTCTCTGGGTCCTATGATCCCAAGAGTCTGTGGCTCTTGAGAAGACCTAGAGAAGCGAGAGTCCTGAACTATTTCTTTTTGAAACTTTAATTCCAAAATCCAAAAACTATTTGGGAAACTACTAAAAAAAAATTCAGGTGGGAAAGGAGCTCAAGCTCTAATGTCACCTGGGAAGTCTGGCCCCTGCTGCAGGTGGAGTGACTCATGGTAGGAGGTGGTTGCAGACAGAAACGTGTCAGAGTGTGAGCGTGTGTATGCATTTGCAGGTGTGTGCACAGGTATGTGGGGGGGGGGGGGGGTTGGACGGCGGGGGGGGGGGGGGGGGGGGGGGGGGGGGGGGGGGGGGGGGCAGGCCTGAGGGGAGGGCTGGAAAAGCAAAAGCCAAACACCTCAGTCCTCAGCAGTCGGTTGGTTTGCTCAGGCTTTTGAGGACATGGAGGCCCCGGTGCAGACCTAGTTTCAAAGATAGCTCAGGGCAGTCAGGGAGGGAAGGTAGGTCAGGGCACATCTGTATTCCCCAAAGGAGCTGAAATTGTTCTTTTCCCTGCATGGGGATGACGCAGAGAGAGAAGCAGAGCAGACACAAACTTTTTTTTTTTTTTTTTAGTAGTTTCTCAAATAGTTTTTGGATTTGGGAATTAAAGTTTCTAAAAGAAATAGTGCAGCGGCTAGGTGCCATCTGATAGTGCCACGGGGGTGTTTTTATATAGTTTTGAGATGAGCTTCATCTGCAATTCCTGTGTGACAGCAGGCAGGAACATTCAATTTAGACCAGCTGGGGAAAGGCCAGCTAGACTTTGAGAAATTATGAATGATAGACTATTTTAAAAGAAAGTGGCATTACATTGTATTATATTCTTCAGGTATATGTATAGGGATTCTAGCTGTTTATCGAGTCACAGTGAGTGAAGGGCCTATTATCCTTTCTCTCCACCCATCCCTACTATCCTGCTACAGCAGCTGCCTGCTCTCACCCGGAGGGTAGATGTGCCTACCCTCCACCCTCCTGCCTGGGCCTGTTCCCCAGGAGGCCTCTGTGGATGCCTACGTGGCCTCCTTGATTTCTGGCTTCTAGTGGAAGGTAGCAGGGTGGGGGAGAGGGGAAGGAGGGAGGAGTCACCACCACAATAGAACCAGTGGCCTTGGTTCCTTGTGAACAGGGAACTGTGTATGGCAGGCAGGCATGAGGAACTGGAAAACGGCCCCTGGTGAGATGGAACGACAGGAGGGCCACAGCCTCGGTCCCTGGGAGGGGAAATAGAAAGCTTAAAATCACCTTACTCCATAAAGTTTAAGGTGCCATGGAAATGGGTGAGGGGTCAATCGGAAACTATTCATCACTGTACCACGTAGGTCAAGAGCAGTAGGGTGATTGGCATAATGCAGAATCCTTACTTTGCAAATAGAAAGAGCCAATTAGGATGAGAGGAAGCCTGGGGACATATATAAGCCCCTGGCAGGGGAGTTCCTGGGGACATATATAAGCCCCTGGCAGGGGAGTTCCTGCAGCGATGTGTGTGGGATCCCCTCCACAGCACCGGAGGCTTTCCTCTCCTTTCTTCTCAATAAATGCTCTTGCTGTTGCTGACTTGTGATCTGTGAATTCATTCTTTGATTCCTGAGACCACAAATGTGGTGGGAAAATTCCGGTATCACTTGTCCCTCCCGGAAGGGCAGGGCTGGCAGTGGCTGCTTCCTCTTCTGAAGTCCCCTCTCTCCCAAGTGATGCCACCCCGAGATACATTTCCCACCAAGCCTAGGGACAGTGGAGGCTTCCTGCTCTTCCCACCTCCGGGAACGTCATCTAAACACTCTCTTCATCAAACTCTTTCTGGAGCTGCCATTTCCAGGTTTCCTGCTGGAACCCTGACTCTTGTCGCCGATGACCTCTTAATCCACAAGTCACCATGACATAGTCCAGTGCTTATCTTCAGCATCTGACTGTGGCCAGCTCGGTGTGGGTAGGTCCCTTTTCCCTGGGCTCCCAGGTCTCTCACCCCTGGGTGCTTCCTGGCCCCTTCTAGATCCTGCTGGGTCTTCTTCCTGATGCCACCCGATGTGCCCAAACCTGAGCATCTTGGTCCCTTTTCTTGCTCTTTATTCTCCCCCGTGACCTCTACCACACCCTGGCTTTGACTTAGAGAAGGGAGCTGACCGTCAGAGTGCT